CACTGTCGTGCTGCCCCCAAGGGGCGCTAGGGGGCGCTGTGCTGCAGGGAGCGGGGGTCAGCGGGAGGGGCTGTCCCCTCTCACTGTCCGTGCTGCCCCCAAGGGGCGCTAGGGGGCGCTGTGCTGCAGGGAGGGGGGGTTCAGCGGGGGGGGCTGTCCCCTCTCTCTGTCGGGGCTGCCCCCAAGGGGCGCTAGGGGGCGCGCTCCCCGGCAGTCCGTGCTGGCCCCAGGGCACGTGGGAACCACTGACACTCCCCCCCCCCCCCCAGGTACTACTACAACAAGCGCATCCTGCACAAGACGAAGGGGAAACGCTTCACCTACAAGTTCAACTTCAGCAAGGTGGTGCTGGTGAACTACCCGCTGCTGGAGCTGGGCAGCGCCCCCTTCCTGCTGGCCCCCTGCCCCGGGGGGGCGCACGGCCCGGACTGCCCGCCCCTCACCCCCGAGGTACGGCTGGGGGGGCAGCGCGATGGGGGCGGACACCTCTTGTGCCCTGGGAAGGGGGGTGGCGGGTAATGCAGATGCGGGGGGGGGGGGGGGGGGGGCTGGGCTCCCCCCCCGGACTCACTCCCTCTTTCTGCCCCCACCCCAGACCCTTCAGTCCCTCTTCGCCAGCCCCCGCCTGGGGGACCCCCCCGGACGCAGCCCCCTCTTCGAGCGCCAGGCCGAGAGCGAGAAGCTGCGGCTGGACTCGGCCATCCCCTTCCTAGGCTCAGGTGAGAGCTGGGGCCCCGGGGCCGGGGGGGGGAGCCCCGATGGGGAGGGGGCCCCTCAGCTGGGGGACAGGAAATGGGGGGTACAGAGCCCCCAGCTCCTCCCCGCTGCTGCTGTTCAGACGCAGGGACATGAGTTTGTCGGGTCTCAGCTCAAGGGCCCCAATTCCCCCAGCCCTTCCCCCCTCACAGCAGCTCCAGCAGGCAGGCCACGGGCTGGGGGGGCCACGAGCGACTGAGCCCCCCCCCCCCGGGGGGGTTGGGGGGAGGGGGGGGGGGGGGCTGGCTGCTCCCCCTGCACGTGGGGGGGAGGGTGTCACACAGTTAAAAGCCTGATTCAGCCATAGCTGAGGACAGAACCCAGGAGTCCTGGCTCCCAGCCCCCCCGCAACCCCTGCACCCCACCCCCCCCCCCATCCCCGCCCCGGGAGAGAACCCCGGAGTCCTGGCTCCCAGCCCCCGGTAACCCCTACACCCCACTCCCCTCGCAATCCCACAGCCAGGGAGAGAACCCAGGAGTCCTGGCTCCCAGCCCCCTGTAACCCCTACACCCCACTCCCCTCGCAATCCCACAGCCAGGAGAGAACCCCCCAGGAGTCCTGGCTCCCAGCCCCCCCAACCCCTGCACCCCACTCCCCTCACAATCCCAGACCCGGGAGAGAACCCCCCAGGAGTCCTAGCTCCCGCTGGTGCAGAGAGCGGGAGGGGAAGCTGAGGTGGGGAAGGGGTTGGCGGGGGTGGGGTGAGCCGGTTGAGGGGGGGGGGTGATGGGACCCTGCTCTATGCTGATTTCTCCTCCTCCCGTCCGAGGTGGGGGCTGGTCACTCATGTCTCCCCTTCTCTCCCCCCCCAGGTGTCTCCGGCTATTCGAAGCCCCCCTTGCTGGCCCCCTACGGCAGGACGCCCCCCTTCCCCGAGTACCCCTGGAATTTTAACCCCTACCTCTCCGGCGCCTTCCCCCTCAGCAGCTCCAAGCTCCCCGCCTCCCTCTACTCCCCCCATTTCTACCCCAACCCTCTGGCCCAGCTCCCAGCCCCCGTCTCCCTGCTGGCGGGGGAGGGGGCCGAGAGGGGGGCCCTGGGCCCCGCGGCCATGCCACGCCTGTGCCTGCCCCCCCACGGTGCCGCCCTGCCCCTGAGGGGGGAGGGCCATGGGCCGGGGGGGCGGGAGAGGGAGGCTCTGGGGGACCGGGGGTCGAGCCCCCCAGGGGGCCCCAAGGAGGATCCAGGCTCGGACTCGGAGCTGGAGATCACGGATCTGAGCGAATGCAGCTCGGAGAACGAATCCAGCCCGGAGAGCCCGGAGCTCAAACTGGGGGCGCCGGAGGGGGCGCCAGGGGCCGCCGGGGGCCCAGCCAAGGAGGGGAAGAGCCCGGCGGGGACCTGAGCCCCGGACCCCCCAGCACAGGGCAGCTGCAGCCAGAGCCCCGGGGTCAACCAGCGAGTCCCGGTCCGCCCTGCGTCTATTTTTATAGGAAAGTTTTATTCATAGAATGTGCCGGATCTGACCCAACCCGAGCCCTGATCCGCCCAACCCAGA